ATGGCAGAGTTCATTGTTAATTCACTAGATGAGCTTGCCCCCAATTTGGTTTTATGAATGTCCTTCGCACGGGCAGTGATGACGTGAGACCATTGGGGCCGCCATTTATCTCCGCAGTCAACGAGGGGGGACCAAACTGGTCACATTTAGGTGCGACTCCAGTGCAGCCCCACAGGAGGTCAATTAGGGTCATGTACATAGAACGAATTCACTACTCGGAACGCTAGACCCGCATCTGGCCTGCCCCGAAGTAAGCCTCCTTATGACACGCCACCTAAGAATTGCATTTCTCCTATTACTAACACTATGGATTACTTCAATGACAAAACCACTACCTATGTTTTACCACACTTCTTTTTTTGTAGGAACCGCCGATAACCAGTGAAAGTTGTCCAGAAGCCTTTTTATGTCCATTGAAGAACTGCGTCCTCGCCTGTATTTTTCGTACCGACTTCTCTCAATTGCAAATACTCAATAAACAGTCGTTTCTACCCATTGTCTGCCCACTTTCCGATGTCGTGGGATAGTGTGAATGATAACTAGGTTGTCCGGTTGTACACTTGCTCGGGGTGTTTATCGCTGATTTGCTTTAGTCGAAGCTGGGAGGATTCAGTGACATATGTAATGGTACTGAGATAGCAGACAGTTTAGAATGAGTGCACTCGCGGGTACAAAAATTTGGCCATAAAGGGTGGGGGGGAACGAATAGAGAATGCAGGCGCCACCACGCATTTTTTCGGATGGTGTGGGTAAACCAGGCTGTGGTGTCGAAGGTCAAGCCTTAGCCATGCCAAATGGCCACCTCTGGCCGCCTCATAGCCGCGGCGACAAGGCGCGGCCAGCCGATGCTGGCAAGTTCCGAATTTCTTGAGAAAGAATTGAGACTGAAAATATCCGATGCAGTGTTACCCATCCCTTTCTGAACAGACATCATCTCACGGGCAGCAGCTTTTTTTCTCCTGAACCATCAAAACTATACAAAAATGTCATCCCCTGTATTTATTCATCAGGAGTTCTTTTCAGTTAGCTTGATCCGTGCTTTATCTTTCGTTGACAATGCCTGTAAACTGACAATAAACACAATTATACAGGGTTGTCGGGATGTTTGTGCGTCCACAGCTAGAATTTTCCATTCAGGCCTGGAGACCCTGGTCTGTCAAAGATTGTACAACCCTCGAAAAAGTCCAACGACGGGCAACCAAGCTTGTCAGAGGTCATAAAAACCTGACTTACGAAACTAGACTGTCATATCTTGACTTATTTCCCCTGGACTACTGACAACTACGTGGTGACTTAATTCAAACGTTTCGAATGCTACGGGGTCAGGATTGCCGCCTAACATCAGGCGACTTCTTTGAGCTGACCACTACTACTAGCCTAAGAGGACATTCTCTGAAACTACGTGTGACAGGGGGCGAGACTGGACGCAAGCAGGTCCTTCTTCAACTACAGAGTGGTAAAGGCATGGAATGCCCTGCCTGTGGACGTCGTCATGTCCTCATCCGTGGACACATCTAAGAGGAAGCTTGACCAGTACGGGGATATGTACCTCCACGGCATCAAAAACTAACAAAATTCCCCTTTACTACCCCACCCCCAAATTTTTACGTTACAAAGCATGCTACTCATATATGTAAGTAGCATTAAGTTTTTACTTTTAGTTATCTGCTGACCGAAGCATATGCGATTGCTTCGATATTACTTTGTCCATTCAGTACCGCATACTGGTTGTTGTACAATTTTGACATAGAAGGTATTCATAGACAAATTTATACCAGTAACCAATGCTTTTTGTATGCAATTACTTACCTAATTTTCTTTGACACTTGCCTTACACATTGTTTTTATGACGTTATTGTAACAAAAAGGGAGTTCGCCTACCTTTCCCTTGATAAATCTGATCTGATCCCCGTCAAATCCTGATAGACATCAAGGAATTGTGAAAGCCCGAAGCCCGTGGTCTGTAACTGAACGTTTCAGGCTGCCACGGTTTACTGTGGAAATAGGTTTAGCATAAAGAGAACTGTGGGGAGGACTTCTCAAGCACCGAATACAGTGACTGCAGTGACTGCCCGGGTCTGCGCAAGCGACCAGATGGGTGTAGGAATACGCGATTGGCGCCTCAAGTGCTGTAGCCGCAAAACTACGGCCCATGATGCTGCCATCTGACAGTCCCAATCCGAAACCTGTCTCACGTGCTTGCTGTTCGCCTAGACTACTATTACCCGCATCGACGGTTACTTGTCCAGTGATATCTGTCCAGCTGTTGTTGCTGCTGGCTGCATTGCCAAACTCTTACGCAGGACATTTATTTCAACGTCTGTTTCAACAAAGGGAAGACTCGGACGGCATTTCTTTCAATCTGGATTCAGTCAGGCCACCAATGGCGTCGAAATGGCGCCTGCATGACCTCCAGACGCCGCGTCTAAAACTGGTGTGCCGGTCGTGAAGTCGGCCTCCGAAAACCGAATCCACGCGGAAGCAGCTGTCCCTGCCGGCGAGTAAAGCAGTCTGGGGTCAGAGCAGTGTTCATGAGTGCTGGTGCGTATCCCCGAGACGTGAAGCGGTTGCTCTAACAACTTTTATCCATCTGACGTTCCGGATTTATACTGGAATCCGCCATCGCAGACCGAATCAGATAAAAGTAATGTGCCAACACACAGCGATTAAAACTGGCGGCCCCCGCATTCAACGTAGACAGCCACACTCGACGCCTCGGCAATGGCTATGCAGCCTGCAATGACCTCCCCACATGCTCTGCCCAGACTTTGATTGGACAGAGTTATTAGACGCGCCGGTAAGCACTGCTTCCAGCGCCAGTGTCGGTAGGCCTAAAGGTCGGGCAATGATCACACCAAAAGCCAACACGAGTGATACATTTGCTGCAATTAACGACTCGACTGCGGGAAATCAAGTCACCTGATCGCTGGGACAAGAGCTTTATTAGCCTGACGTTTCGGATTCCTGCTCGAACCGATCATCAGAGACAAAAGTAGATACGGGTGATTCATGCACAAGGGCCTGCAGCATTTATTGGATGCAGTCGCCATGCTACCGCATACCTATGAATGTTCATGGCTCACCCCTTCATCAGGGATCGTTGCACGTGGTGTGATGACTGTTTGATGGCCGACATTCGCGTCGTTAATTGCTGCAATCTCATCACGTGCGTTGGATGTTGGTGTGACGATTGCTCGATCATCTGACGCACCGACCCTGGTGTTGGGAAAAGTGTTCACCTGTGCACCCCCCGCGTGGTTAGTTACTCCGCCTAGGCGAAGTCTCAGTACCGAGTATGGAAGGGGAAGACCATTGCACTTGTTAATGGACTGGGGGCCCAGTAAACCACGATTCAAGTAGCTTCCGGCTCACGCGGTTGTTACCTCTAGCGAGAATTTCGACCTCGTCGAGTTTGGATGTGGCCGGACCTCGTCGAATGAGCAATTAACGACATAAATGTCGGTCATCAAACAGTATTCACACCACGTGCAACGATCTTTGCTGAAGAGGGGAAGCCGTGAATATTCACAGTTTTGCGGTAGCATAGCGACTGCATCCTATAAATACTGCAGCCCCTTGTGCGTTAAGCACCCGTATCTGCTGTCATCTCTGATGATGGATTCGAGCAGGAATCCGAAACGGCAGGCTAATAAAGCCCTTGTCCCAGCGATCGTGTCTCCTTCTTCAAGACTGCTCCTGGGACTCCTCTCTTCCTCTCTCCTTGGTAAATCAAGTCACTATCGGAATAAGCGCAGCCATCTGTGACGGATGCGGGGGGCTATGGAGTGGCATAGCAAGTGCAGCCCCCTGTGCAAACACTACTCTGTCCTGATGATATTTGGACTCGAAAGCGGATCCGAAACGTCAGAAGAACAAACCTCCTGTCGCCCTCCCCTCAACTCCTTCTTTGCACTGGCACTCTCATTTGAACCGACAACCTCAAAGCTTCAGCGAGCGTCCTAGGAATTTGCGCACACGCGGGGTCGCAAACCACTTCACGGACAGAATGAGTGCGGACATCCTAGGCAGCTGGCCAGAGGAAACAGACTGAGGCCTTTTCCCACGCTATAATCGCTCATTGTGCACGATACACAATAAGAATGACTACCCCGCGTATGATCAACTGCACAACTAATCTTCAAAAACGGATACGAGTGAATGCTCTAAATATGAGACATAGGCTCCACAAGTTCTAATATACGCAAGCTCCCCTTAGATAATCACGGAAACATGTCTCAGTGTACAGTGTGGCGGGCAGCCATCATGACCAGGCTGGCGTCATTGTTCAAGACCTCGCTGCCTCAAGGTCATTCACCCCTTGCAGTGAGCCGTCCCAGACGAGCTGACCTGAAGTCACACAACCAACAGCTCGGGCATACCTGCGTCCGCGCAGTCGCAGCTGCCCATGCGGCCACTTGAACGCGCCACCCCCGGCAACCAACAAAGCAAGCCACTGGGACATCACCCCTCGGCAAATGCAACACACGCTGACTGGCCACCACTTGAGCATGGCCCACGAGCCTACAAAAGCGGCTACCACCACTATCTCAGGGGCTCCCAGGTTTGATTGGACGCAGTCGACACCAGCCCTGGCTTCGCCAGTGGCCACTGCCGCCTGAGAGGACAACTCCGGGTTCTGTGCGCAATAAACCCCTCATTCTGGAGCCTTCCGTCTCTCTCCCTACAACTTGGGATCTGACTCTACGAATGTAATGCACAGAGTGCACACACACATTGTCGCTACAACAGTACCATCGTCCTCTGGTTTCTGTCGTTTCTGGTTTTTGTGAACGGGTAGTGCAGGTTTTCTAGTCTTGGCTATTATGATGCAAACTGAAACTGCTCCCCCACCTAAGATGGCAACTCGTGTCGGAGTGTAAAGGGATCTCCTAAGTTAGCATAGGAAAACAGCAGGGGTAGGCAGTTTGAAACGAACTAACCGTGAACACATGTAAGAAATATTTACAGTTTATTTCTCAACAACAGCTTGCTGCTGGGGTTCACCAAAAAACATTCAATTGAAGATGATGAACTGAATGCCGACTGACGGCTAGGGTATGTTTCGGCTTGGAATCCAGAAATGCAGCATAGAATATGTCCGACTTTGTGCTCATCGTTTTTGACTGCATCCCGTGCGACGCAATGTATGTGGAGGTGCCCGGTCGTAAGAGAGACACTCTGAGGTTGCAACGATCATCAGCTGTGCTTAGCAGGCAGATCACCGGCTGCTGAGGCAAGTCAGGAATCTCTCGTTCCGTAGGCAGACGCGCAAATGTGTCGGGCAGTCGGACGGCCGAGAGCAGAGTTTTGTCGTGGTAGGTGCGTCTCACTTTGCGCCAAACGTCCTCCACACTTGCTGATGTTTCTGCCTCCGGGGGTACCCAGGGCCAACACTGGAACTTCAGTTGCATATTACTCAAACTGTAGACGCCGGAGTCGACCGCCTTGGCAGGCGATAACCAGCCGCAGTACTTGACCGGCGCTTCGGCATTGAAAACCTGTTGAAAAATAATGGCTACTTATATGGCATCAGTAGGACGCATTTTATAACTTCATCCTTGTCTAGCCAAAGGAGCACCAAATAGGCTCACCTGAAGAAGGGCGTCGTCGGGAGGAACTGTGACATCACTGATGCAGACGAGACCGTCCTCCGAGGAGCTCAACAGCCGCGAAGTGTTATCGAAGGAGAGGTGGGTTACACAGTCTGAGTGTACATCAGAGAGAATCGCGAGGGGTTGAGAGAGACGGCGGGCATCCCAAACCAGAATGTGGGCCCGAGGCTCGTCCACATCTAATTTCTGCCTCTTCCTCGAGAAAGCGCAGTCTTCGACATTGTCTGTCCCAGCGCAAAGGTAGCGCGAAGTATGCTCTATAGCACAGCATGTAAAGTTGACTGGACGTGGGAGGCTTTCGCTACCCGGCGGCGAAACAATGGCCTAAAATAAGATTTGATATGAAACCAGTCTTCCCAAATGCAAAAATCGTCCGAAAAATACTTTGCTCAAAAAACTAAACTGCAGGGCTTAACAGAACTACGGGAGATGAGAAATGTGGTTTTGTTCAATGTCGTTGACTAAGGAATTAAGTCGCAAACGCGGTGTCCGAGCTGGAAGTCGGTAGTTCGTTCGTCGTCATTGATTTGGATAATTTAAGTAAAGATGAGGCGGGCTTGTAGGTGATTTTAATTGTGGCAACGGAAGCCTACGTAGCACTGGTATAACTGACCACATCCATTGAGCTCCAGTGACAAGACCAGCACTAAATATGAGTGTTCCCGCTATTAACGTAAGCCATAGATGTGCAATTCCCTCCATCTGCGGATGATCTACACATTTATACCCACAATAACTAGTGATAAACCTTACTGCACACCAGTAAACGCATTAGTGCGGTCATGTTCTTCAATACTTTGCAGCTGAACCTCAGTGCATCTAATCAAAGCTTTGGGTATCGGTTTCAATCCTCCATAGAGATCGCCGGGGTACCGTCCTTAACGTCAAATCGAAGATGTGAGATGACCACTATTCCTGGTGTCGAGCAAAATTGCCCAATAGTCGAAACGGATGTTAAAAAACCAGCAGTCAGCAACTCGACTATGCGCGATGAGCGTGAGAGCCGATAATCTTGACCGGTACACGGGCGCACAATAACTCCATACTTCAGCACCTGGCCAATCAAGCCGTGAGGCACTCGGGAGCAGCCAACTGTGGTAGGTATGCGGCGGCTAGGCAACGACATCCTATAAACACTGCAACACCTTGGCAATCCACTACCCCTACCTGACTCTGCCTCTGATGATGGATCCGTGTGAGAATCCGAAACGTCAGGTTAGTAAAATCCTTGTTCCAGAGACTGTGTCTCCCTCTTCGCAAAGCGCAATCTATCACATGTCATACAGGCCAGTGCTTAGTGTATGCGCAGAAGCGCTGTCCGTTTTCAGAGCACAGGTCCATCGCATGTTGAAGCGTACTAGCCTATGCGAACGCCCAGGCAAGTGGCAATATGGCGAAGCGTGATGGAGAGCAGACGTCACGAGTTCATTTTCACGTCCTCTTGAAGGCGATTGCGGTCCCAAACGGCTTGAATGAGCGGCAGAAAAAGCCATCGACGGCGAGAAAAAGGCGGCATGTTAGTTGGACACGGAATGACGTATCCCCTCTCAAGCCTCTGAACCAGACTCTAACAGGGTGCCTACTTATTTGACTTAAGTAGGCACACGCGGTCACCAATCGAAGTGCCTGGGGGAACGCATCTACCCGACCGACTGAAGACGAAACAGATAAGGTGCAAGCAGAAACTGCGGGCCTCAAGATTTGGAAAATAAGGCCGCTAACCGGCGCAACGGTAGGAAACAAAAGCAAGACGAATGCCTGCGACACTGGCTGCGACATGGGAGAAGAGACAGCAGACGCCCTCCCAACAGGAAACCAACAAAACTCACCGGCACTCGTTGTCCGACTGCGAAGTCCGACCTGGTTAGTGCGCAAGACGAAGTTAAAAACGCATGGTCTAGGCGCCATTCAGTGAAGCCCATCAGAAGCATTTTATGCCGACAGGTCGACCGTCGTTGCCGACACACCGAATGGGGGGGGGGTGCAGGGACGGCGACTTGAGCTGAACTCTCCTCCTCACCCTCCTGGGCCCAGTGTCAAGACAGCGTCAAGAAGACCGGAGGTGGAACCACACACAGAGTGACATCATGCTAGAACTGTCGGCTATGAGGTGGGTTTCAAAAGCTGTTGGCAGTGTAAGCGGAAGGCAAGCCGGGATTTTTAAGAGTAAAGGTGCAGAGAGGTGAAGAGTACGAGGAGGAAGGAGGACCGTTGGACTGATTCGACCACCTACGTCGGCGGGACAAGAACTTCTTGGCCTGGCGATAAGGTTCTGCCGTTTGGTTGCAACAGTAAACATCAGTTAGACATAGTTCTCATATCACAGGCGTAGCGGTTCATGCCCCTTACACACTCGGTTCGTTGCGGACTGCGCCATACAGAGGGAGTTTCTCCTATGATCAAGCGTTCATGTGCTTGTACTTGGTGCGGCTGCGATCATGGCCGATCTGGCGGGCCTCGATGATGTCACGTATTGCACCCCTCCATTCACGACCATTTGCGGCAGCGGATCTGGACAGTTCGACCCATTTTCTTCTCCAGCGACCGAATACAGAAGGTCCAAGAACCGCCTCCATGTCTTGATGAAGCGTGTTGAGCCAGGCCTTGAGTTGACCTCCTGTTCGATGCCTCCTGATGGGCAACGACACCAGATCGAGGACGCTAATGGTGATGACGGAGGACGTCCCCAAATCACCTCAGCCGCCTTTTCTGGATGGCCTGAGACATCCTCGCAGTGAGTGTGAACTGCCACATATAGAGCATCTTCGCGTACCTTGCAAAGCTATCAATAGCAGCAATTAGATATGCCAATACACAGCAAATTGCGCCCTATCGCTCAACGCCTGTCTGCTCCGTAAACGTACAATCCAAATCGTTCTGGTTAGACACCACTATGTAAATATCTACAGACCTAGCCGCAATGCTCGGCTGGTCGTCAAATACTTCCCGTCTTAGCTCATCTTCTACATGCAAAGCCCAACATTCACAACCGTGGAGGACTGATCGGTCAGTTGCATGGCGCACGCGGATATTTGTGGCAATGGATATGTCGCGTCGGGTCTATCGGCAAGCAGCATCGATTCGGATGACAGTCCATTGGTCAGCTGCATCGTCCCCGAGCATTGGAAACCTTACTTATTCAAGTTAACAGACACAAATCCCAAGGGGTGCCTTCTCCCAGTCAGGGATGCGGCTCGAGAACAGTTTGGTCTTCCCAGCGTTTATGGATAAACCGAACGATGTAGCGACCCCATCCACCCGAGACATCACAGACAGAAGGCGACAAAATGCAACATTGTCGATCGACGGATTAGATATCGAATGGTTGAGAGAGCTTTTTATGATGGAGCAATAGTTGGGCCGGCGCACCATCTGGTTCCATTATTCGCTACAGGGACTCACGATTGAGATCAAACGCAGCGGCGAAGGCAACAAAGTAGACGGTCGTCGGTTGTCAGTAGTCACCGTGGAATTCCAGGATGAACCTCAGTGTGAATACTTAGTCGGCATATCCATACCCAGCTCGGAATATGGCTTGGTTGAGCGTCTTCCTAGTGTCAGGCACAGGATGGAATCGTTTGAGGAGGACAACAGTGAAGACCTTCACAACAACGTCGATGAGGCTTATGTCGAGGTAGTTTTCGCACTTTGTCTTATCTCCTTTCTTAATGACGGGTACAGAGATGTCCGAGCCCCGGTCATTGGGAAATACCTCATCTTTCCATGCTTGCTCAATCGCCTCATGGAGTCCGAACGTCAGTCTCGGCACGAGACTTGTAGATTTCAGCGGGAATACCGTCCTTGCCGGGTGCCTTTTTATTGTGCTGTTTCTGCATTTCATCGGCGACTTTTCTCGCAGGAGAGGGGTCGCATGGCACAGCATAGAAAGGGACAAAACTTCGCTGCAGAGGAGAGCAAGGGCGAGGTGGGTTGGGTATCGAAGTTGTGATGGTGCTCGAAGTGCTCAAACCACAGAACGACCTTGGCTGAATTGTCAGCAATAAAGCCGTCACTAAGTGTCGAGGGCCTACCACTAGATTGACTGATAATTTGGTAGGATTTTCGTGGCAACAAAGTTGGAGGCTTGCTGTCGCTGTTTCAACCCAATACTTTTTTCCAGTCATCCCTTGCCGACTTTGTGGACATTTCCGGGGTTGGCGGAACTCTAACTGTCTGGGCAGACAAGTGGAGCCTAAAAAGGTCTGTTCCGACGAATCTCCCCCGAATTTGCGCATTTCCTTGGAAATTAAACAAGGTAAGACGACTGGAGAGTCCTTCCGCTGACCCAGTCACTGCGGTGTTGGTGAGTCCAGGAATTTTTCAGCTGCCCTATGGACTGATGCCATCGCCTTCCTCGCCAGCTCGAGTCTTAAAGCGCGAAGACAGTTGTAAGTTATCTAATTTTTGCGGTATCGAGGCGTCCTGCACGCGCCATTTTGAGCGCAGATGAGGCATTAACTTCCAGGTGTGTGCGAACGAGAACGTGGTCAGGTTGGATACCAGTGTCGCAACACTCCGTTACTGATGCTAGTATTATTGCAGTTAGTTACCCATACTGTAAGCGTTGGTAGAGTAGCATTGGCAGCCGTGGTGGCGGTGGTAGTAGTAGTAGTGCTAATAGTAGGATTATTAGTAGTATTCGCCGTATCAGTGGTGGTAGACGGGGGAAAAAGTTTTATTCAGTGTTGCGACACTGTATTCCCGCCAGTGGTAGTAGTATTAGTAGTAACAGCGATAGTAGTGGTAGTAGTAGCAGTAGTAGTATTAGTAGTAGTAGTAGTAGTAGTAGTAGTAGTAGTCCGCCCGTAAGACAGGCTGGTGGGGGAAAATTCTAAGTGTTGCGACACTGTATTCCCGTCCGTGGTCAGACCCATGGACGTTACCAGTTTCGGCACCACACACCGACCTGCTGTCGTGGACCCAGCTGCGGAAATTGGAGCTGACTAGAATGTAGTCAATCTTACTGCCCGTATGGCTGTCGTTTAAACATCAGCTCAGCAGACGTTTGTGGCGATGCCGGAAGCACCTGCTGGTGACAATCAGTTCTGATCGACAATGTTCAGGATTCTCTCACCATTGTTGAAACACGAATAAAGCCCAAAGCGGTTAATCAGGTGACCGGTGGAAGGGCCGCCAGATCCAGTTCGGTCATCCCTGACCCCAGTGGGGGTCTTCCAACTAACGCTTGCAACTACGAGTAAGAAATCTCGTCGCGCTGTTCGGCGGCTGGTGTTGGTGCGTACAAGGAGACGACAGCGTTGTTGGTAAATTCATCCATTAGTGTCACACAGGCCATTCGGTCACTGACTAGTTCCCAAGCAAGTAGTGAGCAGTTCGCTCATTGCGTGAGGGCGATCGCCACACCTCGCTTACCAGAAGAGTCGCCGTCGTACAGGGTGAAGTGGGTATTGACTCCCCGGATCTTTATTTGCCGAGCACTTGAGTCAGGGATTTGGACTGCAGACAGCCAGCAGACCTCCACACTGCGCTGACGAAGACTGTGCGCCGTCAGACTTTGGGTCCAGCAACGTTTGCACATTACAGCATCCAATACCAAGAGTCTGTTCCTGATTGAGTAGTCTGGCTGGTTGAGGAGCACGTCGATTTCCGCGAACGCATGGACCGTATTACCGTAGTCGGTTTCTTGGGAATTTTGAGTACAGACGGGTCTCCAACAGACGTTAGGATTGTTGCACTAGCAGTTTGATTCGAGAAACTAAACACAAGGCCGTGGTGACAAGCAAACTTACTTCATGGCGGTTCACTGCCGACATGTCAACTGGCTTTGCGGCTTTATTATAAAACTTTCAGCATGACAGACAGCCCTCCGCGCCCTGGTAGCACTGTCGCTGCTGGTCCGCGACTGCTTATTCGCCAAGCCCGGGAGTCTGCTTATTCCGCAGTTAACCTTCTCTGAAGGCGCTCCACTATCCAGGACGCGCCAGGTAGCCAGCAGCTGGGCTAACGGGCAACCCGTCTTCCCGAACCCGCCCACCCGGTGATTGGTTGTTTCATGACAATACATTGACTGTTCACACTAAGTGAACTGGCAACCTACTTAGAAGCGCAGCATAGGTTATTAATATTTAAAGCACTTGTTTTCGGCAATTCCTCCTCAGACCCATACCGGTACATGGAGAATGAAAATATGAGAAGTCGACAGGGCTTATAAGTGTGTCATTTGTTACTGACACTCAAAACACGTGCTTTCATGGGCCTGATGACAAATTACCGAAAATACGTGCTTTGGATGTTAAGAACTAATGAGACACTTATAAACCCTGTCAACTCCAATGCATGCTGGAATCGCGCATACATAAATATAAGTTGGTTGTGCGACATGGCGACGAATTATCACAAGTGGCCGTCCACACCTATGAAACGGTTATGAGTTTAACATCGCAGTGACCGGGATAATCGCCCACGCCGGAAACAAAACGGGCCGAGAATGGATTGAAGCCTGGGCCTCGGATTAGAACTCAGTCAGCCGACTTATCGATCTGGCGCCGACGTACAGAGCCCTGAGCAGACACCTCCAGTCTTGCGCAATCAATCGATGATTGGCTGGCACGCCCTATAATTGTCGTTCGTTCTGCTGTTGCTACTATCTCTGACGCTGTGCTCTTGCACGGTGCTTGACCATGACGGCTTAATCGCCAAGCCCGAGAGTCTGCTGATTCCGCAGTCAACCCTCGCTGATGGCCGCTCCACTATCCACCACCCGTGGACACGCCCAGTGGCCAGCAGCTAGGCCAAGGGGTAACCCGCCTCCCCGTCGGACATTCCTGAGCATGCTGATGCAGTGTAAATGCAAATACTTGCCGCGCATGGTGGGAGGTTCATGCAACTTACCTCACAATTCTTCGACCGTAGATCGAGGAGGGAGACCACACCAGATTCGGTGCAAGACATGAAACGATGGGCGGAGGAAGCAGCATCGACGCCAACGAGCCCTTCAGAGGTAGAACGTTTGTGAACGGACGGATGCAGCGTTTGAATATCAAGGTGGACAAAGTTGTCATTGGAAGCTGCAAGGATGGACTCATGCGTGTGGGTAGCGGCCACGAAAGTGTGCTCCTCAAAGTAGCATCTGTGTAAGCTACGAAGCATTTTGCCTGTGGAAAAAGATAGGACAAACGTAGAGACCTATTTTTGGAAGGTAATACCTCGCAAACCGAAAATGAACGAGTAAAAAGATCAAAAACACGTTGATCAAAGAGTTTGAAGAAGTCCGGCGCATTTTAGGAGACGACGGTGGCATTAAGAAGCATCTGGCAACCTGAGTTGCGCTTCGATGGAGTCGCCGAAGAAGTAGGTAAGACCTGAGATGTCGATAGGTACATAAGGTGGGAAAATATTGGGACCTAACGAATGTAGCCATTAAGGTCTCTTTAAAGTCTCAGCGTAAGATGACAGAAGCGTCACCTGCGTAGCACACTCAGAAATTTAGCTTTCTCTGCAAAACAGCCTCAAAGAGGTGACCAGTGATCCGAAATCTTATTGAGGTTCCCTAGATTTGCTCACAAACATTGCCATTAAACGTGAAGGACGTGCTTGAGTAGTAGTCTAATTCCTCAATCACACGTTCCTTTTGAATAGTTTCCCTTCCTCATCGAACCTATTATCCGGTAGTCGACTGGTAGACCTCGTCGCCAATTTGTCAAGGACGAAAGTGAACAGAAAGGACAGGGTTAAGTCCTGGGCTCTCACCCGTCAGCAACCCGTCGTCTCAACGGGTGGGGGACGACCTGATTGAAATGCATCAGCACGAATCCGGCTACGACACAGGATACGCACGTCTAGTGGATTTAGTCGGTACACTGAAAAAGTAAGACTACAGAAGATTCCATGAACCTAATCTGACAGCGCGTTGTATCCCCTACCATATCCCACAGTCCACGTAGAACGACCTCCGCAGCTGAAGTAAAGACCACTAAAGAATTAACGAAGGATGAAATTTGCACAATACGTCATTTGCCACCAAATGGGTAAAAGATAGAGTATCTTTGTGTTTGTTTTCTATGAGGTATATTAGAATTTATAAGGACATAGTAAATCAAAGGGAAAAATTCATGCTACTTAAGTAGTCGTTTCTCACGGAATGTAGTTTATGCAAGCAGTCAATAGAGAGCTCGTTCGAAAGTCTGTATCTTGACGTGACTGGGTTACCTTGGTATTAAGTCGCAGGATAATTTATGTTACAACCCTACTTAAGCAGTCTTTTCGAATCGAAAACAAATTTCAGAATTTCGATTAACATCTCACAAGGTAGCACGTCTACTGCAGTAACGCTCGAAAATAACTTGAAACGTACGATGGCTTCTAATGGGTCATGTGGCACTCAGCTCGCTAATTAGGTCTCTTACTGACAAGTCAACTTGAGGCCACTCCCTCGAACGTTTCTGCCAGTATAGTTATCAACCTGCAGCAAACTCGAGAGACGGGTTTAAAATCCCAACGTTTGTCTTGATAAATAGGGATAAAGGCATAGATCTAATCGGATTTAACATGTTGTCAAGCTCCCAAGGATGTTGAGGGTCATTTCCACCAGCTGGCAGGCTTCGCTACTCCTACAATACTTAACCCTTTCCCATTCAGCGTACCCACTAACCAATGTAACCGTTCCGTGTTTGATTGTGCGCCTTTATTACTGGTGCATCTTTCTATGAATAGGCACTGCCGTCCACTCTGGCAATTAAAGTAGCATGTGGTGCTCGTTAAGTAAAAAACTTACAAACCTTCTACGTCGTCCGTCACCTGCTATTGCAACATTTCGCTGCGCAGACGTGCCTCACATGCATTAAGCCCTATAAGCAATCGTACTTCCTGAAAGTGTTCGTAGATATAAAGACCTGTCTTTCATGAACACTTTAAGATTGGGTAACGATGTATACGGATGGACGGCCTGCAATCTCACCTTATCGTACATGGTAAGTGCGAAACACCTCCCGAAAGATATTTTTGATCCTCTTAGAAACATTTAGGCAGTTACACACAAACAAAAACACAAGCAATCGAATACTTAGGTAGATGGTGTTTGCTGTCAAACCAAAGTACGTCCGACGCCCGAACAACCGAAGCCGGAAATGACACACGGTTATAACAGTAATTTACAAGAACACTAACTGGCAGACCGTGGCGAGAACACCTTGATGCTTTCGTGTATGCGCGCACGGGCAAGCTGCCAGCTCCGTATTTCGACTCTTTTCAGTCATATAATAATCCCAGCCACGACATGGACTGGCAACCTCTGGAGTCTTTTTTTGCGTAAATATCTCAGCTAATGTTCCAGCTTTTTCTGCCATGAATACGCTCAAAAACTACCATCAGGGCAGGCAGAAAAGGTCACTGGATATTTAAAATAGATACAGAAAAAGGCTACAGAACTAACGAGTAAAGAACAGCTAAATAGGGCATCGTTCGGAAGTTCGGACAGCCGAACCAGATCCACAGTCACCTGCAAACTTGGAACATGCGGCAGAACCGAACAATCAGCAATAACAACAGTGTAGTAGAACAAGGCCTATGTAGTTAGACCAATCTAATGCGAGACTATGATTCATAGAATGTTTTAAGGCTGAGTGATTAAATTCCTAGTTTAAATGACATATTTTTCGAGAGATTATGGCTATGTTGGATTAGGGGTAGCTACAAGAGCACGCAAAATACGTGTAGGAAGAGAAATCGAAGCCTTGATTCACGGGTATTTGAGATGCACTTTGCACCCCTGAACAGAGCCGATTTTGAATAAAGCCAGGGCGAATAAGCATGCTGAATCCACTGACTTCGTAAAGCTTCGCGACCTCTCACCTAACTGTATACGGTCATTGCACATTATATGGATAAACTACTCAATTAGTAAACGACCTAGAAGGATGAAAGGTGATAGGTAAATGAAACCGCGGAGCCTTGAGCTCACATGCCGGTGGGCATGGAAATGAGGCGGAAATTATTAAATGAGAGGGTTCAGGCTTGCGAAGCCTCGTCAAGTCTGCACGGGAGGGTATTCAGCCATGCGAGTGGAAGTGGGAGTACAGAGAGGGAATAGGGTCACTGTTGTTATCGGCCCCCCTCATGACAATGCGGGGCTAATCACGTGATCCAACTGTAATTCCGGTCTTTCCCTCCACATTACAGCAACTTTTGCGAGGCGTAGGTGACATCCAGTCGTCACCCGTACTTTCATCACAATTTATGCTTTGTGATAATTTCTGTCTTAGGTTGCTATTTAGTTACCCAGGCCGCTTATTCTGTCTCGAACTCGTCATTGGGTAGTGGTCGTTGATGAGCTGCAGAAAGATATTCTCGAACATTTCCTAGTCATCATTGGCATTTTCCGTAAACGTTCAGCTTCAGTCGAGACCGGATAAATCTGTCCTTATCTGATTGAAGTCGCCCGCCAGATGTTGCCTACTTTTGGCCTGGAGTATGCAAAATTAAGATAACGAATTATCACAAATAAGCGCTACATGGTCCCTTCGGCCAAGGGCGACATGGAGATAACCTCGCCTATGTTGTCTTAGGTTTTGCAAAGACCAGATCTGTGCAGACAGCTTTTTATCCTTCCCGTGTTCTCGTAGGACACATAACATGATGTGTAGGGAGCGCCTTTGAAGTTTTGTGCAGCAAATGGTAGTCAAATGTCAATTTTTGAACTGACGCGCGAGGAGCATTCCAGTTACTTCCTCGTGTGTTGAAGTCGCCCATGTTCATGATGCTAGGTCGACTGTAGAATTTCCCCAACTGCTCCAAAAGATCAGTGTCGACGATTTGGTCCGTCCTAGGTGATCAGTAGACAGTGAGAACATCGAGACATAAGAGACCAGTAGCCTTGATGCTCAACCAAATACTGCCATGCTGTAGGCAAACTTGGCGTTATTTCTCGACACTGACAGGTCTTCTTTCGCATACACAATTATGCCTCCACCCTGATGATCTTCTCTGTCCCCCCGAAATATTCGGTATCCAGTTAAGGCTATTTCGCTCTCGCTAAGATTCCCGGTCAGCCAGGTTTCGGTCGCTGCTAAAACATCCGAACACCGTTCGGCAGTCAAACATTTAGCTCGTCAAATTTCGATATGATGCTTTGGATATGGTATATAGGCACCACAATTTTGAGCCTGACAAATTTCCGGCGGCATTGTCACTGTTGTGGACATTACTGCGTTGTCGCAGACATCATTTTCGCTGACCTTTTCCGATAATTGATGGGTTTCACTAACGTGCCTTGCTTTGGTCAGAACGCTGGGTATTAAGGGCTTCTTTGTGCCACCGCTTTGTCGACCGGTTCCACAAAAGTGTCTGAGTTAGTTGAGTAGCTGCCGTCGTTCTTAGTATTACTGGCAGGTTCTACTGAAACAGCATACTTTTGCGAAATACGTTTCCATTGAAAATAGTCAGGTTGTGTTTAGGACCTGTCAGACTCACTTTTAATTTCGGGTCAAGTTCCCGGCGTCTCGGTTGTTCGGCTGAGAAGTAGTCCGGTCGAAGAAACCTGTTTACGTGAGCTTCTGAGGTTGGCATTTGGAAAGGATAAACTTAATTTATCCTTTGTTCTCCAGCATAAGTTTGAGACCACGAGGTGGTAGTGTTACTGTCCTGTCTTTACTCCTTTTTCCGATCCAGGGTACTTTCAGGACTTTTGTTTCCATGTCTGCCTGGAGAGCTTGGTTCAGTAGACCATGAAAAGAGGCAAGATCCTCCGAGATACTGTCTTCGGACCTGACTACATTCGATTCAGACAAGTCCTGAATAACCAGATACAGTTGGCGGTCCCGGTACTCTTAATTTTGTCTTTTCGTTGAGTTCTTTCTATGAGAACGAAGTCGATTTACGGAGTCCTAGCTTGAAGTCAAACTTTTGGTGTCTGATAAGTCTGCCGAGCTAGCTATGACTTCAGACTCCTACCATCGCGTTTTTTTCATCCCTGAGATGATCCTGAGATGTCTTAAGCGATGTAACAAAAAAATTACCTGGCGCGGAAGCCATCTCGCCTAAGCCTCTCGCTGTAAGTGACGGGATTTCCCTTTTTCCTGGAGACGATATACCTGATTCATCCAGTCTACTGTTGCCCTCTTGTTCTTTCAACCACCCCGAGCGCACTACAGAGCACGTATCTGAGTGCGAAGACATGAACCCGTGGTAGAGGGGAGAGGGAAACGTCATGACAGGAGTCTGAAGTCACAACCAGCCCTGATGGGTAGCTTGGGACAGTTGGTAGACAGCAAAAGTGTGCGTCCAAGCGACGACTCCGTAAATTGTCTTCGCCCACATGCAGCGAATTCACCGGAAAGACAAATTAAGGAGAACCATGATCGCCAGCAGTGTCTGGTTATTCAGGGTTTGTCGAAATCGAATGCAGTCAGACCTGAAGACCGTGTCTCTGAGGGCCTGGCTTCTTTCAATGGTCTACTAAATCGGTTACTCCAGGCAGACATGGAAATAAAGGTTCTGGAGGCATTCCGGATAGGAAAAGGAGTGAAGACAGGACAGCAGCACTACCACCTCGCCCTCTCAATATTATGCTGGGGAACAAAGAGCAAATCAAGTTGATCCTCTCCAAAAAACCGTCCTCAGAAACACATACAAACAGGCTTTTTTTTCAACTGGACTATTCACCAGCGGAACGGCTGAAACGTTGGGAACTCGTCTTGGGGTTAAAATTAAGACTGACGGAGGGCGAACACAATCTGGCTGTCTTCAAGGGGAAGGTAGTACGGAAATATATGCCGTTTCAGTGGAAGCAGCCAGTAATACTAAGAACGAGGGCAGCTGCTCAGCTAACACAAACACCTTCGTGGAACCACCTGCTCAAGGCGACAGCACAAGTAAGCCCGTAACGTCCAGTGATCTGTCTGAAGCAATGGATATTAATGGAACCCATCAGAAAATGGAAGATCCCAGAGCAAATGGCGTCCGAGATAACGGAGTAATGCTGAAAACAGCGACAAAGTCAACGGGAATTTCGGCAGTTGCAAAACTGAGGTGCTTCCACACGAATGCCCAAAGCCTCATATCGACACTAGACGAACTAAAATTTTGCCTTGCCGAGCTGTCTTCAGATGTTTTCGCAGTAACCGAGAGCTGGCTGTCCGGGAGTATCAGCGATAGCGAAGTAGCCATTCCTGGATACCAAATTTATCCGAGGAATAGGGAACATCGTCAGGGTGGTAGTATAGTTGTGTATGCAAAATGAGGGCCTGGCAGTGTCGAAAAACACCACCAAGTTTTCGTGCGCCACGGAAGCTATTTGGTTGACCATCAAAGCTACCGGTTCCCCGTGTCTCGATGTCCTCACTGTCTACCGAACACCTAGGACAGACCAAATCACCGACAGTCAGCTATTGCAGCACTTGGATAAATTTTCCAGTCGACCTAACATCATTATCATGGGCGACTTCAACGCACCAGGAGCAAACTGGAACACCCTCCAAGCGTCAGGTCCAAAATCTTTATTCGATTACCGTCTACTGAACAAAACAGTAAAGGCGTCCCTAACACAACATGTAATGTTCCCAACGAGAACACGTGAAGGAAAAAGGACAAACTGCCTGGATCTGGTTTTTACGAAACCATCAGACAGCATAGACAAGATCATCTCCATGCCGCCCCTTGGCAGAAGTGATCATGTAGTGCTTATGTGGGATTATTCGTTATTCTCCATTTCACATACTCCAGACCAAAAAGGACGCAATGTTTGGCGAGGCGACTTCAATCAGATGAGGGCAGACTTATCCGGTCTCGACTGAAGCACATTTTTTACGGAAAATGCCAACGATGACTGGGAGCTGTTCAAGAATATCCCTTTGCAGCTCATCAAAAATCACTGCCCACTGACTAGTGTAAGACTGAACAAACGCCCTGGGTGGCTTAATAGCAAACTTAAGAAAGAAATCAACTGGAAGCACAAATTGTGGAAAAAATAGCGCGTCACAAGGCAAGTTGAATATTTCAACACCTACAAGTCACAGACGAACAAACTGAGAAACCTGATCATAAAGACGCGAAGAGAATTCGAGAAGAACTTGCTGCAAAAAAAACGCAGAACCAAAAATTACTCCACAGTTACCTTCGACGAAGTACAAGGGACAGGCATCAAATCCCCTTCATAAGGTCTACTGATGGCGTTGAGGTTGCTGATAGCAGGGATAAAGCTGCGTATTTTCCACAGTTTTTCCAATCAGTCTACACAAACGAGGCAAGGTTCCTTCCTACCTCCACAGAAGAACTGCCGACCCCAGGCGTCAGTGATATGCTCTTCTCAGAATGCATTGTTCGAAGAGAATTAGAGGCATTGAACGAATCAAAGTCGCCAGGACCAGATGAGATTCCACCCAAGCCTCTCAAGGAACTTGCCAGTGAGCTTTTTGTGCCTTTGCCGATGCTCTTTCAAACGTCATTTGACACTGGAAAACTTCCTTTCGATTGGAAACTGGCGCATATTACTTCGCTATACAAAGGAGGTAGCAGGGCAGCGACGAAAAATCACAGGTCCATAAGCTTGACATGCACTCTCTGCAACGTTATGGAAAAGATCATAAAGAGTAAACTGATGCAATTCATGGAAGCTCACGGCCAGCTATCGAAATGCAAGCATGAGTTCCGGAAGGGAAGATCCTGCACGACAAACGTGCTTCAATCTCTACAGAGCTGAACCCGAGCTCTCGACGACAGGCACGCGGTCCACACAGCCTTCATCGACTTCCAGAAGGCGTTAGACACTGTGCTACACCAGAGGCTCTTACATATACTTAAAAATAGGGATCAGTGGCAACTTCCTTAAATGGATCGAAAACTTCCTTTTGGGTCGACACCAGGTTGTGTACATCGGTCAAGGAAAATCAGATCCTGCTATGGTCGACAGGGGTGTCCCCCAGGGTGCAGTACTGGGACCCATTTTGTTCCTTATCTACGTGGACGATGCTGCAAGAGCTTTAGACTGCGAAGTAACATTTTTTGCCGATGACATGAAGATATGTTGTGTAATTCGGGGTCCTGCCGACGAAGACAGACTGTAGATGAGCCTGAATCGGTTGGAGGAGTGGTCAAACCGTTGGCTCCTGCAGTTCGACGTTGGCAAATGTAACGTATCTCGCCTAGGCAACACAGCCAGATCCGCCAGCACAAGAGGCTACTTTCTGGGCGGTGCAGCCCTGCAAGAGGTCAAAACCCAAAAGGACCTCGGTGTGCTGACGACGAGTTCCCTAAAGCAGTCCGCCCATTGTTCGAGGGTGGCAAAAAGCGCAATGTCCGTACTGTACTCCAACAAGCGTGCGTTTATGGACTTTGACGAAGACGCTTTCTCACAGACATTCGGAGCATTCATCCGGCCGCATTTGGAGTACGACATACAAGCCTGGAGACAGTGGGCGATTGAGGATCAAAACTGCCTCGAAAGAGTCCATATGAGAGCCACGAAGATGGTTAGGGGTCAAAGCTCCTTTCCTTATGCAACCCGCCTTGTAAATCTAAACCTCTTTCCTTTGAGTTACAGGCAACTGCGCGGGGATCTCTTGCAAGCCTTTCGCATTGTTAAGGGGTTGGATTGCAGTCTGGACTTCGAGGACTTTTTTGAATTTGCTACTACGGCCAACCCCCGAGGTCAACCGTTAAAACTGCGAACTCAGCAGGCATTGCTGGATGCGCGGAAGTTCTCCTCCTCTGCTCGACTGGCCAAACCATGGAATGCTCTTCCCGCAGATGTTGTGATGTCACCATCTATACAAAGTTTTAAAAAGAATCTTGACATATTTATGTTCCGAAAGGACCAAGAGCAATTAGAAGTAGAGTTAACCCCCCTGTAACTCGTTCTCATTTTGTCCTACCACTATGGGCGTGTTTTAATTATTTCAGCCCGGAACATTTATCTGTATAACACACATTTTTTACGTTGCAAATGGGGAACTCAAAGACTTACGCATATTTCCCTCAACAAACTGAACTGAACTGAACTTTACTGTCCTCTAACTTATCCTACATATCCTCATTATCCAATACAAACTTACTCACATTTTTTTTGCCACCTACGAAGTTGTCATTTACCCGTTTGTTTTTCAAGTTTGCATTCTGGTAATGAATAAAAATTGCTTAGTATCAATTGTACTGTCTTGTCCACCAATATTGATAGCTTTCATAAATTGTTTCATCATACATTGCCTCATCCTTATAGCCTCGTACTTTCAGCAGCTATCATCACTAGGAACTTTTGAACTAAAGTCTTGTTTTGCTTTTTCGACATGAAACCTCAGGAAACCATTCGTCCTCATCTGAAGGAAACTAAACTCCATTTAAAACCCATTGTACATATGAAAAAATAGACCTAGGAGCGCTGGATAATTTTAACAATTTTATGTCTCGTTATGGATCAATTTTTTCTGTTCTTGGTGCCCTTCTTGAAGGAAAGTTGCCAACACTTGCGTCTCAACAATGTGAGAAGCTCATGCCTTTCACTGGCCTAGTTGCTAGTGAGATCGAAGACAGGCACAACCGAAGTTTCAACTTTATTTTAAAAAACGTTCCTAAGAGAAGACAGCCAATCAATTTCGCTTTCCACTTTCTTAATTCGTGCGGCTTCAACTTTAGGGTCGCTGGAGCTAAAAGACTTTCATCTAGGAGCAAAAATCCACCAATTCTTGTCAAAATATTTTTGCCGATATAAGTGGACTTTATTTTCTCCCATTGGGAGCGCTCAGCTGAATACCTTAGGGAAAATAAACTTTTTATTAGTCGGGATAAAACTCCACTGTAACAAAGCGTTCCCTCTCCCCCCCCCCCCCATAAATGAACGTAAAGCCACACCAGAACTTTCCTCATCTGCCGTTTCCTTTTAAAGCAGATTCTCCATCAGGCGTCAACCAAATCTTCCCCCTATCTGTAGCGGTCCCAGTTCCATCTAGCTCTTCATTTGAGCACATAATCACTGAGTCAGTTGAAACCCGCCACTTCAAAAAGCCCAACAGACAAGGAATGCTGAAATGCTGCTCCCAAATTTACTAGGGCGCTCGATCTTAACAGTACAGATAAGCCAATCCCAGAAGCTAAACCGACCTCCAGCACTCAGAATAATGAATTAGTTAATAAACCTGGATTGAATCTACCCCGTTCCCGGGACCTGGCCGTTCAGGTCTGACCTAATGATTAGGTCAAATAAGCCAGATGATAGTTCAGGGAGACCTTTACCAACCTCGAATTCTTAACTTAACGTAAACACCCCAGTTGTGAAGCCCACTTGCACACTAGCCTGCAAAATGCAAGTATATAGCGTTGCTGATAATTTTTCCAATCCCATTGTTAGTCTGACACCCCAAATAATAAGGCCTTCTCCTAATGTAAGCTGTTTCTCGAAATCATTTAGTCTGTTATCTAACATAAACTACCCCTCATATTTCACTCAAAATTCACAAAATCCTATTTTATGCCGTCTACTTTTCCGAACCAGCAAAACAACATTCCTCTTCCCCGGTCCTGGTCAAATGTTTTTTCCATACAATGCTGCATCTCCAGTTAGTGGAAATTCGTCAAAAAAATTTTGACCACGGCAACTCTGTCTTCTACCAATGCTTTATCCCAGCAGCTTAATTTTCCAACATCAGCTCTCCCTTTTTTATAAGTAGCAACGAGCGGAACCTAGATATAAGGGATATGCTCAGTATTGTCTCTCTCAACGCAAGATCAGTCGTGCAAAAGATGGCACAGCTAAGAAGTGTGGCTGTTGAGTTTGACCCAAGCGTATTGTTCAATACTGAGTCTTAGGCTCATTTTCTAATTTTGGACTCAGCACTCAATATTGATAGCCTTAGTTGATATTACCAAGATCGTGTCGAAAGACGCGGCGGTGGTTGCCTTCTTTACATCAGAGCCTCACTTGCACAGTCGCCTTATGACCTGAACACTTCCTCCTTCTCCGGAAATTTTTATTTCGTTTCGGTAATCCTTTCGCAAAATAGGAAAGCCTCAGTCGAATGTGCATATAATCTTGCTTGTTACTCCGGAAATGAAAGCCAACACTGTGAGCTCTTTGAAAAAGTTGCAGAGACTTCTTTCGATGTCAAGATCACCGTAGGCGATTTTAATTTGCCAGAAATTGACTGGCACACACTTCCTTCCCTAAATTCCACAAGCTTCTAAACGCCATTCACTTTTCAAAGATATCTCAATTAGTCCACTCTTCGACCAGAAACGATAGTGTATTACATTTACTTTTTGCTAATGGCACCTTCCCTCTATCTATGGACTTCCATCATGAACTTTTTCAAGTGATCATACATTAATTCCTTGTCGCCTTCCAGTTACCACTTCCGTAAAGCCAAGAAGTACAGCTTAGCATTAACAAGGAATTAGTAAATAATTTTACAAGCACTCTTGATTGGCACAGTATTTTTTCAAATAGTGATCTAAATTTTTTCAACAAGTTACTGATGACAGTTCGACCATCGATTTCGATGAGGGCCACCGTGTGCCCCACAGCAGAAGCGGTGGGAGCAGGGACGGCGACTTGCGCAGGGGTTTATAGTGCCAGGAGACTTGCGTAGCATCTACCTACCCTCTTTTCTCCTCCCCCGCCTGGGCCCGTTGTCAAGACAAAGTCAAGAAGACCGGAAACGGGGGAGGCCGCAGGTGGATGGCTCGGACGGATCCTCACCTTGGCATTCCATCACATCCCCTGGCCCACACAACAAATGACCAGGATTTTCACCAACACAACAGAGAATGGAGGCTGGCACGGCCAAAGCCGCACCTAGGCGTGCCGCCAACGCCTGGCTCGGATCTCACACTGTGGTGGGGGTGCCATAAAGGCCACATTAATAGGTAGCCATTGCAGCCTGATTCTCAGACCACCACCAGTGAAGGAGGAGGTCCAAGTTATCCCGTCAGTTGGCAACCATCCAAGCCACGGCTTTTAGCGCACCGTGATAGCTTCAAGCGCGTCCGATTGTTTATAGTGAGGAAAGTGCGTTGAGTCGTCGACCTCACTCTCCATTTCCATTCCCACACCCCAGCCGCTGTCCGAGCCGATCAGCAGACCGCAGTGGGAAATAGGCGCGGTGACTGACATGGTCGACTAACCATGACTGCGCGCGCCACGTGCACGACCTGGCCCCCCATACACACAAACACCAAGATTTCACACAACGCGGGTTGAACGGCGTGTCTCTCACTTGCGTGAGAGAGCCGTGGAAGGTGCTGTTTCAGCCCGTCCCCAGCCCACTAGTCCGCCACTCCACACAACACACACAATTGGACGAACTGCGTGGCCTGAGGGGAGGGGGCGTCAATCAGCAACCTTCCTATCCAGGACGGTTGACGTGTCGGAATAGTCTCGGACTCAAGTCACCTGTGCAGCCGAAGCTGCATGGAGACCGAGTCGAGGTGCACACTTGCCACTTGCGTGGGAGGTGGCAGTTGGATGCTTGCGGTGGTTGAGCGTTGATGTGTGGTGGGGTGGTGTTGGTGGTGGTGAGGCAGGGAGGGTGGGTGTGATGGTGCGATGCAACCGGCGGTTGTCCACCGCAGGTCGTCGTGGATGCGCATGTGGCCGAATAGGCCCATGCGGTGCCTGAAAGTGCAAGGACAGTGTGGGCAGTAGAGGCGAGTGCGGTGGGTGTAGGTGGGTGCTCCAGGCACTGGATCGCCAGTCTCAGTGCGATGGATTCGCAAGCGACCGTCCAGGCCGATGCGAAATGTGTATACGCGTAGACAGTGTGGGCATGAGAATTCGATGGTGTCGGTGTTGGCTACGGAGAAGGTGGTGGTGATGGGGCACAGGGCAATGGAGCGAGGTTGGGGCTGGGCATAGTGGTTGTGTTGGATGTGGTGGCTGTTTCGGGACTGCGTTCAATTCCGCTCTCGTGGATGCGCATGTGCCCGAATAGGCCCATGTGATGCCTAAAAGTGCGAGAGCAATGTCGGCAGTGAAGGCGAGCTTGGTGGGTATAGGTTGGTGCTCCAGGCACTGGTTTGCCAGTCTCTGTGCGATGGAGACGCAAGTGGCCGACCAGGCCGATGCGAGAGGTGAATGTGCGTGGAAAGTGTGGGTCCGTGAAGTCGGTGGTGCTGGTGTCAGCTGTGATGACGGTGGTGGGCTCACAGGGTGATGAAGGGGGGTGGGGTTTGGCGGGATGAGTGAGTCGGGGCGGCGGTCAGTTCCGCTCTCGTGGATGCGCATGTGGCCGAATAGGCAGTGTGGGCAGTGGAGGCGAGACTGGTGGGTGTAGGTTGCTGCTCCAGGCACTGGTTCGCCAGTCTCTGTGCGATGGATTCGCAAGTGACCGACCAGGCCGATGCGTGAGGTGAAGGTGCGGTCGCAGTGAGGACAGGTGTAGCCCTGGCCCTCACCTCTGGTGCCGGAGGTTGTAGGCGTGGTGTTTGTAGTCTTGTCGGGAATGTGTGGGGTGTTGTCGTGCGTGACAGTCGCCTGAGCAGCCGTCGTTGGGGCAGTGGAGGAGGAGGGGGATAAGGATGGAATTGGTGGCTCGGAAGAAGAGTCAGAGTTAGTTGGCGACGGAGTGGACGGGGGAGAGGCTGGCGGAGGGGCGACGGTGGGTGCGGTCCGAGAGGTGCATATGATCCGAAGGTGTCCAATGAGTCAAATTCGTGCCCGGAATATCCGTTGGCATCGAGGACACGTTAGAGGCGGTTGTGCGTCGGCGTTGCGTACTGGGCGCAGCTGTGATTTGCGGGCTTCACGTTTCGCTTTGGCGGCAGCGATGCGGTTGGTTTCGAAGATTGCAGCGCCTGTCTTCACTGTCCTCCTCCAGGTCGGCCTATCGCGGACGAGTTCTTCCCAGGTGGTCGGGTTTATTTGCAGACGCTTCAGGGAGGACTTCAGCGTATCCTTGTATCGGCGAATTTGGCCTCCTTGGCGGCGAGAACCCGTCGCGACGTCTCCGTAGAAGAGTCGTTTGGGTAGTCGCTCGTCGTCCATGCGCACCAGGTGGCCGCTCCAACGCAGTTGCATTTGCCTCAGTATGGCGTAGATGCTGACGATTCCCGTCCGCTCGAGCACATAAGTGTCGGGAATTCGGTCCTGCCAGTACAGCCTCAGGATGCGACGAAGACAACTGAGGTAGAAGTGGTTCAGACGGCGTGCCTGCTTTGTGTGCACCGTCCAAGTCTCCGCTCCATGCAGTAGCGTCGACAGGATGACGGCCTTGTACATCTTCAGCTTCGTGCTTAGTTAAAGACCACGACGATTCCAACCTGTGCTTTGGAGGCGACCGAAGGCTTGACTGGCTTTCAAGATCCTGTTGGCCACTTCTTCATCGATCTTGGTGTTACGGGAGAGGGTAATGCCCGGGTACGGGAAGTTCTCCACCACTTGCAGTTGGGTTCCGTTCACGTTGATTTGCGGCGGCGCGTTGGGGGCTGTGGCTGAGTTGGGTGGCGGTTGATGCATCACCACCGTCTTCTGCGTGTTAATGACCAGACCGAAGTTCTCGCTGGCGGCGGAGAAGAGGTCCATGCTCCGTTGTATCTCTTCTTCCGAGGTGGTGTTCAGGGCGCAGTCATCGGCGAAGGGGAGTTCGTGAACGGTGGTTGTGGATACGCGCGACTGGAAGTGCATCCGCCGTTGATTCAGGTGACCGTCCGTCCTGTAGGCGATGCGGATCCCGGGGCGTTCGTCGAGGTAGGCGTCCATCAGCATGGCAGAGAACATAAGACCGAAGAGGGTAGGCGCCAGCGCACATCCCTGCTTCACTCCGTTGGTCACTGCGAATGCCTCTGAGACAGCTCCGTTGTCCGTGACTCGCGCCATCATACCGTCGTGCAGCTGACGCACCATCTGAGTGAATCGCTCCGGACAGCCGAATTTCCGCATGATCTTCCACAGTCCTTCACGATGAACCGTGTCGAAGACTTTCGTCAGGTCCACGAAGGTAGAGTATAGGTGGGTCCGCATCTCCTGGCCCTTCACCTGAATTTGACGGGCAGCGAAGATCATATGCGTGGTCCCGCGATGATGACGGAAGCCGCACCGGCTTTACGGCAGAAGGCCTTGTTCCAGATGATTATTCAGACGATTGGGGAGGATTCGAGCGAAGATCTTCCCGGCGATGTTCAGCAAGGAGATGCCACGGTGATTGTCGCAGACTTGGCGGTTCCCTTTTCGTTGGTAGAGATGCACGATGGTTGCGTCTTTGGAATCTTGAGGGACTTCACCTTTACGCCACATCTCCTGCAATAGCGCAGTCAGGTGATCCATTAGTTAGGGACCTCCGTGCTTGTAGACCTCAGCTGGGATCGCGTCCGATCCGGGTTCTTTCTCGCTGGAGAGTTGCTGCACGAACCTTATGGTTTCCTGAAGAGATGGCAGGAGTTCGAGGTCCACGTTGGTCTCCACTTGCGGCATGCGGTCGATGGCAGCATCGGAGATGGCGGAGGAGCGATTGAGGAGGCCTCGGAAATGCTCGGCCTATCGCTGTAGAATTTGTATCTTCTCGGTCAGGAGGGTCCTACCGTCGGCGCTGAGGAGAGGAGCAGTGCCTCTCGTCGGCGGACAGCAGACAGCTTTGATCCCGGAGAAGAAGTTCTTCCATTCGTTGCGGTCCTTGTACCCTTGGATCTCCTCAGCTTTGCAAGCAGTCCAGGCGTTCTGCATCTCGCGCAGTCGTTGCTGAATGTGGCGGCAACTGCGGTAGAAAGCGGCTTTATTTTCGTCAGTGGGGTGATCTACATAGGCTTTGTGTAGGCGGTTCTTCTCGGCGAGCAGATTGCTGATGGCGGCGTCGTTGTCGGCGAACCAGTCCTGGTGTTGGCGGGGAGCGCGACCGAGGATGGCGAGCGCCGTCGACTGGACCGTGTCTCGCAGTTGACACCAGCGGTTCTCCACGGAGGCGTTCTCGGCAGCGGCGGCATCGGCGATGGGGAGGTTGTCTAGTCGTTGAGCTAGCTCACTGCTGAAATGAAGATGGTGAGCGCGCAAAAACCAGCAAGGCAATATTCAGCTTACCTGGGGGTCGCCTACCTTGTGGTCTCCTGCGAGGCTGTAGGCGAAAACGCATCTTCGAGATGAGAGGCGATGGTCGGTCCACCCGTCAGCACCCGCGACCGCCATCGTTACCAGCACGTTCCGCTGATCTCGCCTCCGGACGAGGACATAGTCCAGCAGGTGTCACTGACGCAACCAAGGATGCCTCCAGGTGGCCTTCTCTCGCTCCGGCAGACAGAAGAACGTGTTCGTCAGGATGAGGCGGTGCGCAACAGAAGGTCTTCTTGACCTAATTACACGAAAGACGTTTAAATCGGGTGCTACTTTCACCGTTGTCCCGCACTTTCTTAAAAACAGACTTAAAAAGCTACAGAAGCAGTTTAAAGATCCTTCACTGAGCTCATTATCAGTTCATCTAAGAATCGTTAAATTATTTGAATTAGTTCGAAAATGAGGCTCGTTCGAGATAGGCGTCGGAAGTCGAAGAGGTTTTACTGAGACAGCCCGTTTGTGCACAACCGTTCGAAATCCTCCGATCAAAGATAAGTTGAAATTTGTTTATAATTGAAATATTTGGCATATTTCTGCGTCAATTTTTAACCGATTTTCATTAGCTGTGAAAAATAAAAAATACAGCCATTTTAAACTCTCTTCAATCAACCATGACCGATGTTCAGTTTGCTAACGACATAGAATAGAATAGAATAGGTTTATTGTAGCGCCCCTAGGGCACTGTCAGTCCCCTTTGAACTCAGGAAAAAAAACCTAAAACAAACTCGTCAATTTCAACTGCACTTTGACTTCATTTGCTTCGGGTGTTTGGTTAGCCAAAAGAGCGCGAATTGAGAGTTTGTTTTAAGTTAAAAAAACCTCAGTTCTAAGGGAAAATGATAACAAAATTTTCAAAAAATAACGATATGTACAATATAAAAATTGAAGTTTGCAGTTTGGTAGTTTTCGGGGGCATGAATAATATGTCCTTCATGGCAATTGAAGAACTTTGATATCGGCCTTACCTTGAAATTATTTTCCTGTTGGGTAAATTTCGGTGTGCTCTAGTTGCTGGTTGTCAGTCTATCTGGCCAGCTGTAAGGGGGCGGTCGCACAGTTCCTACGTGTTTTTCAGGAGGCTTACCATCGTTGTCTGGACTAAGAGCTGGAAAAGATAAATATATATCAGGAGTAAGAAGCATTCAATGGTAAGTCACAATCAAAATTGTCAAAATACTATTGAATCATTTATCATATTGTTCTTGTTAATGTGAAATAATAGGAGTAGATCTTTCGGCCATCGTGCGTTTACAGAAGTTTATCGAGAAAGATGAACACATTTTTACGATTCTCGACTCACTTACAGACTCAAATAAGTTCACGAACAGCCTAACTAGCCTACCACAAATAGAATCGATTTTACATTCGGTTTCATCAGAAGTCGCGGATAGATCAAAACGCAGAATCAATTTGATTATCCGCAATATACCCCACGCTGTTAATCCAACACCGTCGATTAAAAAACTTATACATTCGTGTGGCCTAAACATCCGAGTAGCTACCACCAAAAGACTTCACTCTAGAAGCAAAAATAAGCCCGTCTTAGTAACCTTATACTCACAGACCGAAGCTCAGCTTGTCCTACAAAACCCCGAGTTAAATAGAAATCTGTGGAACAGAAACGCATTTATAGGTCCAGATTTGACACCGATGCAAAGACGTAAACTTGGGGAAACAGACACCAGCTACAAACACGGTAATCAGCACTCCGGCCCCTCAACTGAACCTCTAGCTACTACCTCTACTTCTGTCACTAATAAGAAGAAATGCACAGACCAGCGAAAACAAAATGATAAACCAGCAGCCCCCGTAGATGGATCTCCAACAAGTACATCTGACTCTAGATCTCAGAACAAAAAACGCATAACTGCAAAAGCAATTAGGACTGCTGGGCAGAATCAAACGAAGGAGGCACAACAAAACAACAACGTTCAACTAGGACAGAACGATGATGCAGATCCCGGACCCAGTCATGTGACACCACTAGATAGCAATATAAGTTTTGCTACTCTCCCAAAAAACGATCAAGCTGTACTAGAAATCGACTGCCAAACAAGACACACAAACCAAAAGGCCTTATTAAGCGCACAATCGCAACCAAAACGTCCTAAATATATAGATATAACAAATAGGAGTTCTAAAAACTCTAACCAGAAACAAATAAGCTTCTATAACTGTACCTCGACTCCCCAAAATCCACCTGCATGTCATAGGAATAAGCCAAATCACTCTAGCATTCCAAACTTCATACCACCTAATGACAACCCCACAACTTACTTCAACTTTTACACCTCCCCTACTGAAACTCCATTTAGGTACAATTACTACCTAGTCAACCCACCTCCCCATATGTACACTCAATCCATACACACTAACCCGTGCACTCAATTTTCGCCATACGCATCACCATATCCTCCAAGAACCACACACTTACCTCCATTTAGTCCATCACTCAATCAAAGTGCCCTCAGAAATCCTTTTTTTTTACCACAGCCCACCCCTTCCATATCCGACATCTTAAAGATAGCTCTTATAAATTCGAGATCGATTGTCAATAAAATATCCCAACTTAAAACTTTTGTTGAAATATATAACCTCGATATAATTTGCATCACAGAAACATGTGCAAATCAACTTATATCGAATGCTTTGCTATATATCCCAAATTATAATTTCTATCAACAGGGCCGTATTAGTAAACGAGGCGGAGGTTGTCTTATCTACATCAAAACTAGCACTGAACAAAGTGCTATTGATGTCCCAACCGAAACCTTTGCTGGGGAAGCGTGCCTTGCCATAATAAAATCTCATGTCCATGAAAACATACTAGTCGATTGCCTCTATTCCCCCCCTCCCAGAATGTAGTAATGATGACACAAGCCTCAACCACTTAATTAACAACATAGCTAACATAAAAAATGAATGTGACATAATCGCAGGCGACCTAAACCGCCCAGACATAAACTGGGTCGAATTATCGGCACCCACCACGCACGAAGAAATGTTATCTTCAATGTTCTTTAATAACTGGACGCAAATAGTGGACAAACCCACACGAGGAAACAATATACTAGACGTTATTTTCACCTACGACATCTGGCCCCTCTATATGCACTACGACTGCGTAACCTTTGAAAGTGACCACAAAGCCATAATATCAACACTCCCGTTAAATGCAAAACTAGCACCATATTTTAGTAATAACAACCGCCTTAACCCAAAAAAATTGACAAAGGCTTTATGAACAACCATATAAGGTCATTGGACTGGAGCCCATATCTTCTAACAACATCCCCTATGGAATCAGTTAACCTATTGTACTATGTCCTATTTATACTTCGAGATACCTTGATAGACGAAAGACTCCCGTATAATATATGTATATGTATATTATAAGAAACCACTAATCCCACAATTCCTTTCAACTAAGCTGAAAAAAACTAAAAAAAAACAGCTACCTAACCCCTTTGTAAGTTATTTATCTACACTTTGACGAATTTGGGAAATTCAAGACCTAGTTACGAAAATGGAAACAAAAAACGCCATAGCAGCAGAATATCGGGCATTAGAATCCCATAAACGAACAGCTCAGATGTTTAAGAAACAAATGAATAGTCATCGACAGTCAGGATCACGAACTATTATTAATGAATTAGGACAAGTTATAACAGATGACAACCAAATAGCAAACGCATTCAACAAATACTTCTCAACTAATTACACAGTCGAGGAGGGAGCGACCCCCAACTGACCGAAACGACAGAACGCATCCTTAGTGAGATCCCTTTGAGTGAAGAAACTGTTAAAATAGCCATTAAACAACTATCCAACGCCAACTCTTATGGGACGGAGAAAATCCCGCCAGGTATTCTGAAGCATATGATATATGCTCCAATACTCCCATCTAAGTTATTTACCCTACTCCAGTCAAATGCATCTTTTCCGGACATCTGGAAATACTC